GATACAAGTAGTTTATACTGACACAGATATATATATATATATATATATATATATATACAGTATGAAAAAAAGAGGACACATGACCAGATACTGTTGCACGACTTAGGAGAGATATCCTGGCACCCAAGGGTGTTGGTTTAGAGTAGGGTTGTTTTGTTCACTTAAGATGGATTCCTTGATTTTTCGTTTGTTTATGTTTGGTTATTTGTTTAAAATTACTGTGTTTGTAATAGATATACTTTGGTTTTTGAGTTGTAATGGTGGAAAACAGGACGTTTTTTTTCATTGTGTTCTGTCAATCTGGTTTCCAATTTTCTTCCTGTTTCTCCGATGTAGAATTCTGGGCAGTTTTAAATGTTATTTTGTAAATGACGTTATTATTGTGTGATTCTAAATAATTTTTGTTTTGTAACAATTTTAATTTAGGGCCGTGTTTTTGAAAGAATTTGATGTTGACAGGAATTTTGTGTTTAATGGCTAGTTTGTCTAAGTGTGGATTATTCTTGAGCTGGTTTCAGGGACAAAAGGTAAACTGCAGTGTAATGTTCTGTTGTTGGGTTTGTTAGTATCAATTTTGTTTGTGAGTTGAGTTTTGTTGTATTGAATGTTGGAGAGTTTTTCAACAATAGCTGGTGGAAAATTGTTGGTGTGAATGAAGGAATGCTTTATGTGACTTATTTCTTCATCTATGTAGTCTGTTGAACGAAGTGGATGTGTTTATGAGGTTTTTCAGTGATTTCCCAAAAACTGTATTTTAAATAAACCGGTGTTTTGATTAATCTTTATAAGAAAGGGTAGAAAAGAAAAGATCTCACTAAGCATGTGCCAAGGCTATCATAGATAAAAATACAGTTTTTCACTGTACCAGCTACAACATTATTACATAGATTAAATTATTTAAACATGTAGGAATTGTCACATAATTCCTTTTATTTCTCACAGTCTGTCTCGGATTTTGCCCACAATTTATTATTTTGAACTCTAACAACAAAACTTTATAACTTATAATCTTTTTTTGATCTTGTTTTTTTGTTAAAAATTGTCATTAAAAGTTACAAAAGAGCTATCTGCATATAGTCAGCGCTTATTTTAAACGATAGCCCATGAGACTAAGGAGAAGGCAACTAGTCAAAAGCACCCATTACAAGCAGCTTTTATCTGACTACACACTTGATTTGACCATCACTCTTATAGTGTACCTATAAACTCAAAGCACATAGCATGGTTTCTTGGTAAGAGAATGCAAACCACAAACTCCTGGATACACATTCCAGGCACTCTAAACACTAGACTGCCTGGCCACTTTTGGATCTTAATACAAACAAAAGGGAATCCTCAACACACATGGTACTTCAAATTCTTTTAGGCAGGATTAGAGTAAATTAATCTACGAGGCATTTTTTTTCCTTTTTATGAGCTATATTTTTGTGCACCAGCAATACCAAGTGTGAGATGTGCATATACCTGATTCGATTTTATTACTCATCAGGATCTCTACCAGCCTACCCTTAAATTGAAATTCTTTTAAAAAGGATTACAGCAAATTAATCTATGAGACCTTGAACATGGTCAAATACATCAGTCAAAAAGGGTTTGACCTCCCGAGTCCAAAACTGTAATTAGATCTTAAATTGGTCAAGAGATGACAGCTATAAGCTAAAAGCTTGTATTTGAAAAAAAACTCAGAGCCATTCTATGAGCCACTATGCCACGGCTAAAAATGTACTGCCTTTTCCCAATGACATCTAGTGCTGTTTTATTTTTTCCTGTAGCAATCATTTTATATAATTAGTTTTCTTTAAACTTACCAAATGTACATAGAAAAATAGTCATGTTAACTAGAAACAACATTATCCAAATTTAAAAGCATCTGACTGTTAGATTCCTAAAAATTCAACAGTTTTCTAAACTGTGTTTAATTATTATGCACCTAGTAGTTTATTTGCATTATAATCATCAGTCGAGAAAAAAAAAAGAACTAACCCCTTTCTGAAAAGCTTGTAGTGCAATGCAAACAATGATCCAGGTCCACACAACATGAAGAAGCTGAAGGGCTAGAAGTAGTGAGTTGAAAATGAAATAGACAGGAAAAAAGTCCAGGATGGTAATGGCTTCATACATTGTACTGTAGATTACTCTATTAAAGAAATACAAAACACATTACTGAGGATACTGTGTGAAAAATATTAATGTTTGATAAAAGTTACTTTTATGTACTTAAGAATTTAACAAACACACATTTGGCAGACTAAGTAAAACATGATGCTTGTAAAGCAATAATCAAAGAAACTCAAAAAAAGAACTTGTTTTAGCTTCACAATAACATTATAAACAATAGTTTCAGCACATTCAACCCTAAATCTCATCTTGCATAAAGGTTGGAGTTCATTCTAGCATTGCTATAGTCACTTGTTACTCATTGAGTGTTAATGGTAAGTGACATTAAAATAACAGAAAAATCTTAGTTTTAACAAAAAAAACATCATTATGATTAATACACCAGAATTCTCATGACTACACTTGCATTTTCTTGTCATCTTGCAAACATAAAAAAAAAGCATGTTAACTAAATGGGTGGAACAGTAAAAACTCCAGTAGTTAATAATGAAAGATTGTATTATATATTTTTAAATGATTGCAACTGAACATTTCAAAAGTTCAAATAACTACTGTTTACACACAATAATTGGTATGCAGTGCATTATGAGAAAGAGAACTGTAAAGAAGAAAAAACTATACAAGGTCTTTTGCAAGGAATGAAACTTACCTCATTACCATTTCAAAAGGCCTGATTAGTTTGTTTTAGTTTTAAAAACTTCGGAATTTGCTCTTCTCTCAAGAATATGTTGCAAGTTATTTAACACATATTTATCAGGTCTATTTACTTCAAAGCCTTTTCTTTTTCAGTATAAAAAGGTTTCCTTTTATTCAATTACCTTTATTTTGGAAGTAATACATTACCTAAAATAACATGCAAACATCTGATGACTTAACAAAAATTGATAATTTGCCCTCAAAGATTTGAAATATATTTGTATGGTTTAATAAATTTCAGTGAATTAGGACAGTAAATTATATAGAATGATTGCCTTGATACGATAGTGCAAAGTGAATTCAATCAATCAAGATGAAAGGCAAAGTTTAATGCTTAAAAAGTAATAAAAACTCTGCCCAATAAAATAGCAATATTTTACGCAGTTAGTCCTGATAAGCTACACTACAGGTATGAAAACTCAGTTTTTAGCATTTAAACTTTAAAGTTCTTGAGACTTATCACTGAGCCATTGGAGGTCTAGTTATGATAAGAATTATAGCCTATGATAAAGCATTTCATAAACTCTGAAAGGTTTCACAACAAGGAGCAAAATTCTGACACACAGTGTTTTACTATTTAACCCTTTCGCAACTCTACTGCACAAATTACCATTTTACATTCAAAATTTAATTAAACACCTTTACTATAGATTTATGTTAATAATTAACACTATAATGTATTTTATTATTTGAATTTTCAAGTTATATAAGTTTTAGGTCCCTTATTTCAAAAGAAACCTTTAAAAACTATTTAAATCGTACATGTATTGTCACGTGACCAACAAGCTATGAAAGTTCTCTATTTTGACACGCTGTATCTTCAATAATACAATGGCAGTTGTGTAGACGTACATCTAGACTGTAAGATACTTACATAACCTTTTTACTTGTACAAAGTTCTCTGAATGAATGCAGTTGAAACAAGTAATAAATTTCTTAAACCCCTGACAGATGCCATTCCCACTTACAAGAGATATGTTTACGCTTTATAGTCTACATGTATAGGTTATATATGCATGTATATAGTTATTAGAAAGAGTTACTTTTATACTATAATCTAACAATGGTTATTTTGAAATTAAAGAGTAGTTGTCATCACAGAGTACATGTAACTGACTGTAGTATTGTTGGTTGCTTGATCGACTATGGTACTTAGTTGTTTCTTACTTAAATAAGTTATAGTTATAGATACAGTTTAAACTGTGTTTAGGTCTTACTTTTATATTCTAGATAATTATGTATTAGTTATGTTTTAAAATGCATAACTGAAAGGTTTAAACATTTTTTAAATATACATCACACCTTGCATCAGTTCTCAAGGCTTACGATACTACACGGTGCATGAAAACTTTGCAGAAGGGTTGCGTATATCTCCCAGAGACACTGTAATATGCCTTGAGGGCACCATTGACTTGTGTCAAGATGAACAATAAATATACATCATACATTGCGTCAGTTCTCAAGGCTAATGATATTACGCGGTGCATGAAAATTTTGCAGAATGGTTGCGTATGTTTCTCAGACACACTGTATTATGCCTTGATGGCACTGTTGACTTGTGTAAAGATGAATAATGAATGGTAATGGATAAGAAAGGAAAATAAAACATTAAAAATTAACTATTTGTGAAAAGGAAAACACCAGAAATTACAAACATAATTACAATATCTTTAAAGATATCCAACAACAAATTTAAAGGTATATTCTTTTTTCTATTTTCTAATTTCAATCATTTCATTGATTTTGAACATTGATGATAATGTTTAATGTTCGTGATATGGTAGAGAAAATGAAAAATAAAATAAAAACATATCTTAAAGAAACTTGATATTCATTTAAGTGGTTCTAGAGATTATTCAAATGAAATATGAAACTATAAGATGAAGAAAAGTATTTTTGTACTTAAGGTGAAAATCACCTTGCACTCAAACTGTTAAAATAGTTTGAGTGCATATAACTACTGTAGATAAATAACATTTTTATCAGAAAGATGTAATTAAAATAATTTCATTCTTTGTGTACAAAATACTTATAAACTTTAACAAAATCTTATGAAGTTTTGTGAGGAATGCTCAGAGTTATCATATGTTTTTGGCATAAATGTCCTTCCCAGTCAAAGTGATACAAAATACAACAGCCCATGTGGAAAGGAATTTTCAAAATGTTTTTCTAATCATTTTTGGATATACTTTACTTAAAATAATATGTTATGCTTTCAAAATACAAAATAAAATGACTATGAATAAATAAGAACTTTACTAACAACCAGCTACTAATTTATTTTAGTTCTAAAGGCCCACAGAAGTGTAAAACAGTTGAAAAGTTATTGATCAAAACTGAAAAATGCACACAAAGTATTTTGTTCTTTGATAAGTAAATTTACATGTAAAACTGCCAATCAAAATGCAGCTTTATAAGAAGTCATTAGTAAAAAGATATGTGAAATGTATTAAAATCAAGTTAAATAAGTATTAATTTATTTGAAGGTCAGGTATTATATTATTTACAACTGATTTCATAGAGTCTGGGACATTTCATGAGGGACAGCTTGTGACATGGACTTTTTGTCATGGAAAACCCTGTGTTATGGAATCCAAGTTGCCATCACATCATTAAGAAAGGTTTTGTTACAAGTGCTTTTGTGATTGGTGAATTTTGTTACTAGATTCACCACTATGATACATATATTATGTTTGCAAATGTTAAAGTTATTAAAGGTGTTTTGAATTCAAATCAAAGTATGTTAAGTTACAATAAATGTTTTTATAGACCTAAACCATTTTCACTGTAATTTATGTTTTATGTAACACTGTTCGTGACACCCCCTGTGACATCGTAATACAGGCTTGGACACCCTCTCACCCTCATAGCATTATGTAATTTTTGAATGGTTCCCACATGATTGTACGATTTATGATCTATTATCATTTTATATTATTGTCACCAATCAATTTCATATTTACAAAACTACCTCTCACAAAACTAGTACTCATGACAAAAACTGCAATGTCACAAAAATGATGTAAAAAGAATGCACCTATCATAAGTTGTCCTAGTAACAAAATGTCTGGATCCCAATTTCATATTAAATTACATTTTGATTGTCATTTTCAAGAGAAAATTTGTGTGTGTGTGTAAATATATGTATACAAAATTTTGACTACATTTTCAAGTTTTAATACCAGGTATTAATTATCATAATTCTCTCTATACAGGTATGGTCACTTTAACTGACCTTGCAAGCACCATGTAACCATGAAAGTATTTATAACTTTTAGTATATTAACTGTATCTTCACAAAATTTGGCAAACTTTTGGTAAATATTACAAAGTATTTTGTACACAAAACATTATATTTTATAAATCAAGTATTTGTATTAAGAATTTATCTGTGAATATATAAAGTCAGAGTGTGTCTCAGACTCTGACTAGTCTGAGTGCAAGATGATTTTTATGTTAAGATTAAAAATACTTTTTTCATCTTAAAATTTTATAATTTCCTTTGCATAACTTTTAAATCTTCTTAAATGAATATCTAAAGTTTTTTCGGTAAAATTTTATATTATGTCCATTTTCTCTACCCAAACACAATATGGTCTCTATCAATTTGATGACTGACCTTGTAATCACCACAAAAATATGAAATAAATCTGTATCAACCCCCTTTTTTGCTTTCTAAAATGACTGCAGACTAAACAGAAAATTACATCACAAGAGAATTATTGGCAATTTGTGAAAGATAGTATGTGATAGGCAGCAAGTGGGTTTGACTTTATGGTTTATATTTCCATAAATAAAGAATATTAGAAGCTGTGAAAACGAGACTATGTTTTAGTTATATCTATATTATAATGAATATTGTATGTTAAACTTAGGACATCATAGAGGGTTGATGAAAAAATAGAAAATAGGCAAGTCAAAGAGAACAAGTGTCCCATCCATAGACAAGAAGAGATGGGGAATTTATTTAAATATTTCTTTTTTGAAATTAAGAAATTAGAGTTTATATTAAAATTTGATTTACTAACTATGTTTTGATGCCAAGTTTATCTGTATACAATGATAATAAAGTAGCTTAATTAAACTTTGAATGTATCAATTAAAAGTCATGATAAGCGCACTTTTACCTACCTGTACTGAGGGTTAAAAATAAAAACAAAATTTTAAAATGCATATGAATATCTGCAAGTTTATCAATGACAGCATAAATACAAATGAGCAAAAGTTAGGCTCTCTTGTGATGATAGAGTGAGCAAACTATAATAACAGCAGCCAATGCATAAAATGTGAAAGTGTTTTAAATGGAGTACCTTGTTACAGTAT